CCCAATAGCGTTTAGCAAAAATGAAAATCTGTGTGGTCCTTGTATGGACCCCTACAACATGCAACAAATCGTTTTGAAAAAGCTCACCACGGCCTGAACGACCTCCCTTGTAAGCTCTATACAACTACGATAGCTACTCTTAATTGTTTGGTGGCGACCTCCCACTCCTCCCTCGTTATTATGTCAAAAAATTGTCGAAGCTCCTTAGATTTTAGGTAGTATTTCAACATACTTTTCTGATTTTAGGTAGTATTTCAACATACTTTTCTGTGGAAAACTGGGAAGCTTTTCGGGAAGAGGTAGGAGGTTGGAAAAGCCACTGATGTTACGTAGGATGGGGAAGTGAAAAGGGGTCGCACGAGAGAGGCGGAGGGGGATTTCAGAGGGCGGTCGCATTCTGCAAGAGTTCTCTTCAGCAACAGGACGTGCCCTTTGTAATACAGAACCCCTATTCATCGTCAGGATGTCAAAAATTGACTAATTTCTTCGGATTTTAGATACTATTTCAACAAGCGTTCACGGCAATGTAAAGGTTTCCATTACACTGGATGCGGTAAAAGTGGAAACAACTTCCTCTCCAAAGAAGAATGTCATGAAAAGTGGGTTTTTCAACATCTAAACCGCCAATATTGTAACTTTATTTTCACTTCTTGATTAAACACTGCAGATGCGAGAAACGGTACCCGCGCAGTGTCGCTATACCTGCAACTCCTGTCGCACAACGAGGCAAAGGAAAAAAGAAGCCACCTCCAGCTGGTTGTACGTTTTTTTTCTCTTCGGAACGGTGGTCAACTGTCCAAGACTGCAGCAGTACGACGCATGTTCAGATTCTGGCAAGAAACCCGAGGAAATGCCGTCGATGCTGAGACACGTTGTGCTTGATGGTGTCAACCAAACCTATTACAAGAGTGATCCTGAATGGGCGAATTATGGACTCTGTCTCGGTTACAGGTTAGAAAGTTCGTGGGTTATAGAAATGAAGGGCCACCCTACAACCCAGCGACAATAACGATTATTCAGTAGGGCGCAAGTGGCTCACAAAAGAATTTAGGCGTGAGGTTCAGTGCATTGCAATAGTCGACCACGGACACTTGCACCAATGATATTCGACGCGCGTTACCTGAAGGAGCGGTCGTAGCCGATTTGCCGACATATGCCTTGCGCTGCTGTAACAGAAGCGTGAACTATTTCAGGTATAATGCACTGCAGGAAGTCGAACTAAACTATTGTTGGAAAAAAAGCAAAAAAGCAGACCTTTTTCGTCAAAAAATTGTTATTGAGCTGAGAGGAAGAATGACAGTTTTCGTTCTGTTCCGAAACTAAGGTTTCCATTTTTTTTTCCTATGCTATAGTCTAATCCTATTCCACTGGTAATCAGAGCACCAATCGTCCTGGTAAACAGAAGTTCGAATGCGTGACGTTGAAATCAGGTTCAACTATTGTTGCTGGAAACGCGCCACAAACGCATAAACTGGCGCACTATTCAGCTATTACTAACTGACCCGCGCTGCCAAAAAGTCAAAAGTCGCATAGAAGAGTGGAGTTCGGTGTCCTAGATGTACGGAAATATATCACTCGTTTGGGCGCTGGCGCCGAATTAGCGCCAGTTTGGCGCCGCCGCCTTTCCCACGAAATTGTAAATTTGCATGGTATGGTTATTTGATGTCCTGATCACGATTACCGAGTTAGTTTTCCCTCGCTGGCGCCATTGGCGCTGACTTGGAGCCACACCTTTTTTCACAAAAATTGATAAAAACATGCACAATGGGGTTGTTTGATGCCCTGGTCACGAGCAGAAAAATATGGCAATCACTCCACAACGCATTTAACACTTTTCTAAGGCTGCCTGTGAGAAATAGTGTTTTCCTTTAGGGTCAGGCTAACAATACCAGAGCGCAGATAATCACAGCGTCTTCCATCAGCGCCAGCGCCAAAAATGAATGTGATATATGCAATCGAGATGTTACATGGCCTAGCAATATACAAGTTTCAGCGGATTTAGTAACCTAGGTTACTTCAGCGCCAGCGCCAAAATACCCTAGGTCAGGCCAAGTGGGTGCGATGTTCAAGTTCAGGTGGTCGAATTACCTCTAAAACCCAGCTTTCATCCAAATCTGCTGAGAGATAACTCTTAGGATCCGGCGCCCGTGTTCTGTGGAAAACCTGGGGGCTTTTCGCGAGATAGAGGTGCGTCAAAGTAATGTGTGAGCTCCGGCAGCGCGGACTATCGGCAATGCATTCACGCTCAACGCCTAAAACTCTTTTGTGAGCCACTTGCGCCCCGATATGAAAAATCGTTAATCTACGCGACGCCACGGCATTCGGGCTCACAGGGACATAAATATCAGAGTCGCTATCACTTCTTGCAGGGGATTGGGTTTATCACCAACTCGTACACTTCGACCGCTCTGCGCGAGCTCCCATCAGCAAATCGCATCCCGCGTCCAATGCCACTATAGGTTTTAAAGTGAAGTTACGCGATGCTGGCGCAGTCCCAAAATATGACGAGCATCAACGCTCGAAAGGCTTCTACTTTCACAGTAAAACTCTCTAAAGACAGATTGTGCTTTCTGCGGAGGAAATAAATGAAAAAAATACAGGGCAGTTTGGGCTGCCGAGGGAAGCAACCAAATGAGTATTACAGCAAATTTTTGCAGCGAAAGTGCGAAGGCAGGCCACTTGTGAGACGCTGGGCACATAATTTCTGCAAAAATTGGTGGTCTTGCCATTTTAATGGGCTCATTTCTGCACCCTAGCACCCAAGTTTGCATGTGTACTCACCAAGACTCATATCGTCAGTTAATATTGAAATTAGGCAAAGGACTACGAAAGTGGCAAGCATGTCCCAATATGAAATATAAACCTAAAGGCAGTCTTCTACGGAGTTATCTTTATAATTTCTTTGACTAGTACTATCATTCAGGTACAATATCACCGGCCGGGACACCGTTTTGCATGCACACTTCTGCGCAGAAAATGCCAACTCCGACTGCATCAGTGAGGTAATAAATGAGCTCTCTTCAATCAGTGTTTCCTTTTCTATGATTTAAACTAGCGGTCAGGAGATTCAGTAGCGCCGCAAAAAGTAGTTACATAGCGTGCGTGCGTGCGTGCGTGCGTGCGTGCGTGCGTGCGTGCGTGCGTGCGTGCGTGCGTGCGTGCGTGCGTGCGTGCGTGCGTGCGTGCGTGCGTGTGTGTGTTAAAGTGCTACAGTATAACGAGTCAACTTACAGTGAGTACAGCTGGCATCGTTGCAATCAGTCGGAGTGGGGTCAAGCGTATAGAACGGATCATCCGAGGCTTTTCATCAATGGTTGTAATCTTCCTGAATCGATCCATCCGGAGACGGGACCATTTCGTGCCCACCCTCCCCTTGACACCGCCCCGACCGAATGCGATGATATCAACTATATGAACTCCGTCCGCGCTCAGACTTGAACTTTGCGTGACTCCGCAACTCTGACCTCCTGACCCTACTACGCGTAATGTCAGTTTATTCAAATTCATCGGAAAGTCTACTAGAGAACATTCCATTCTAGACCTACGAAAGCACAAACGGTGAGGAATTTTGTAACGTTCAACGTCCATTTCTACGTGGGACACACTTGTACTCTTGGTATTTCCGTTTGGACACCAAGGTGAGCTCTTGATCAGCTGGAGCGACTCGATATTTTCAAGAAGCACTCACCTCTGAGCTCAAAACTTCAAAAGTTAGTTTCAGGACCCTCCCTACACACTGGAAGATCCTCGGTCTGGACGTATTCAACGCGCCGATGAAACGATCGCTGCCATATTACTACTCAAGTCAAATCACTGCCATGACATATGCTAATAAACTTTGAGGAACTTTGAGTTTTCTGCAGTAATTTACTGCATTGCTACTAAAGGAATGCAAACAATGTCTATATCGAACCAGAGCTGTGATCTGGGATAGACTTAGTTAGACGAATCCAAAGGTGATGGGGCGGGGATGAGTATAACGTTCCTTCACTGGGGATCGTCCGAAGCACCGAGTCTGCGTACACTGATACGAATCCTGTAAGTATAATCCGACTACTATTTTTTGAAAGCTGGTTGTGAAGAGGCCTCTTTAGCGCATTTGATCATGATAACAGCTGCAAAGGTAGCTTGTTTAAAAAAAACTGCGAAAAGAATGTATAACAGAAGTAGAGAGTGGCCAGTTAAAACAGAATGGTCTATGTGGAAAAGGTTCGTCGGAGGGTTTCGAAATGTGGCTAGAAAGAAGAAACCATGATTACATTAAATGGATTCTGATGGCTCTTGCTCTTCAATTCTCCTATTCTTCAGGATCGCAACGTAAGGCTGCGTTTATACTTTGCGGCAGCGTCCACCAGCGTCTACTAATGTCCACTAGCGTTCCGAACGTCCGGCAGCGTCAGC